TCTTATCTTTAATCTTCCACTTTTATAAACTGTAGGCATAAAATTCTCTTAAACTTTGTGACACTTGGTGTCAAATCAGAATGATTATTAAACTGAAATTTTTGTGAAAATTCAGATTCTAGGTTATATATCACTGGATTCATTGAATATATTGGGATTGTAGCCAGGAATCCGTATGCTAGTAAGATACATCTTATTGAAGTAATGCACAAATAACACTCCAGGAAATATAAATATCATGCTCTCACAAACTTGGTTTGGTAACAAATATTACATTATCCAATTTTTATTGTTAAATTGGGAATAGCATTATACTTGCCCAGCATGATTGTTCAAAAGTTTAAAAAGCCAGACATGGTGGTACACTCCTTTAGTCCCAAAAGTCAGAAGGCAAAGATAGGCATATCTCTGTGAGACTAAGGTCAGCTTGGTCTACTTAGCAAGTCCCAGTCCAAGTGGGGCTACAGGGAGACCTTGTCTCAAAACACCAAAAAAAAGTTTAACTAATCTAGTTAGCAGTCCTTTATACATTATCTGAGAGTGAGTTTATTTATTTAATTAATTTTTTAAATTAATTCTACTTTGGATGCCACCATAGAAACAAATAGTTACCTGATTTAGCATGTCCTTTGCCATTTATATAATTATTTAATAGACCTTCTAGTTTTGTTTCAATGATAATTTTCTTTTAAAGATTTATTTATTATTTTCATATATGTATATGTATGTGAGGCTGCATGAGTTTATAGGCACCACATGCATGAAAGTGTCTTCGGATCCCTTGGAACTGAAATGACACATCATGGTTCTGAGATGCTTGATACTGCTTCTGGTCCTTTACAAGAGCAATCAGCACTCTTAACCACTGAACCATCTCTACAGCCTCCAGTTACAATTTTCTATAGTAGAGGATAATGTCCTGAGTAAAGAAACTAGTGCTTAGATATCACAAGGAAGCATAGCACATATTGCTAGAATGGCAAAGTAAAACTTGTATATATAAGGGAGCAAGGTATAATTTTTTAAATGGAAGTTATTATGTTTAATGATACAAATATGGCATACAATTAAATTGTTCAAAATAGTGATAGCTCCTAAGTAGTAGATTATTACAAAGAGAAGTGAAATTAGATATAAAATATGGAGTATATATTAAAGTCTTTGGGCATGATCTTTCATAGTAACAATGATCAAGTAACAGGAAATGCTCTTGTCATCTTGAAAAAAAAATACAGTCTAGAGTAATTCACTTCGGGAGAATTTCAAAATAAAATAACAAGATTAATAAATGCTTTCTCTTTTCATCAAATTTAAAGGTCATGAAACTCTTCAGAACACCATGAAATTCAAAGGAGAACCTTAAAGCTATTTGAAATTGGAGTTTTCCTCATATGTATGTGTGAAACTTCACTTATTACCCGTGATGATAGACAACCCAGAAAGAAAAAAAATATTTTAATATACCAATTTCTTTCTACATATAGGAATTGATGAAGCCTTGGAGAAATTCC